TATTATTAATTTGCTTAAGCTATAAGATTACTATTATAGCCAGCTAGGAAAGGCAGTATAGTATAGTGGCTAAAGGACATGATACTGGAATAAGACTGGCAAGATTTCAAAAGGAAAAATAAGCCAGGTTCAGTGGCTCAGCCTGTAATCCCGAGCTTTGGGAGGCTGAGGTGAGTGGATTGCCTGAGCCTGCGAGTTCGAGAACCGCCTGGACTACTTGGTGAGACCTCATCTCTACAATAAATCAAAAAATTAGCCGGGCGTGGTAGTGCACACCTGTAGTTCCAGCTACTTGGAAGGCTGAGGTGGAAGGATTGCCGGAGCCCAGCAGGTCGAGGCTGCAGTGGCTGGGAGCATGCCATTGCACTCCAGTCTGGGCGACAGAATGAGACTTCAACTCAAACAAACAAACAAACACAACAAAAGGAAAAATATTCCATGCTCATGGATAGGAAGAATCAACATTGTTAAAATGTCCATCCTACCAAAGGCAATCTACAAATTCAATGCAATACTCGTTAAGTTACCAACATCATTCTTCTCAGACCTGGAAATGACAATACAGAAATTCATATGGAAACATAAATGACCAACAATAACCAAAACAATCCTTAGACAAAGAAACAAAACAGGAGGTACCACTCTTCCAGACTTCAAACTTTACTATAAGGTCAAAGTAATCAAAACAGCCAGGTATTGGTACAAGAACAGGCACACAGACCAAGGAAACAGGATAAAGTTCCGGAAGCAAAACCTCAATTTCTCAACCAGCTCATCTTTGACGAAGTCTCCAACAACAACCGCTGGAGAGAGGAGAAACTATTCAGTAAATGGTGCTGTGAAAACTGACTGATCACATGCAGAAGATTGAAACAGGACTCCTAACTACCACCATACACAAAAATTAACTCTAAATGGATCAAAGACCTAAACGTAAAACTTCAAACTATAAGAATCTTAGAAAATGCGGGAGACATCCTTATGGAAATTGGAACTGGCAACTGATTCCTGTTCAGAACCCTAAATGCCCATACCTTAAGAAATAAGATAGACAAGTGGGACCTTATCAAACTAACGAGATTCTGCAAAGCAAAAGAAGCCATAAAGAAAGCAGGGAAACAGCCCACAGAATGGGAAAAAATATTAGCCAACTGTATATCTGACAAAGGCCTAACATCTAGGATCTACAAGGAACTCAAATGCACTGAAAGGAAAAAAGCAAACAGCCCCATTAAAAAGTGGGCAAAAGACATGAATAGATACCTCTCAAAAGAAGATATATGGGCAGTCAACAGACACATGAAGAAGTGCTCAGCCTAACTCATCATCAGAGAAATGCAAATCAAAACCACATTGAGACACCACCTAACTCCAGTAAGAATGGTCATCATTAATAAAACAAATAACAACAGATGCTGGTGAAACTGCAGAGAAAAAGGAACACTTCTACACTGCTGTTGGGCATACAAACTAGTGCAACCTCTTTGGAAGACAGTGTGGCAGTTTCTGAAAGAACTAGAAATTGACCTTCCATTTGACCCAGCAATTCTCCTACTGGGAATATACCTGGAGGAACTCAAATCATTCTACAAAAAAGATACCTGCACATGTATGTTTGTTGCAACTCTATTCAAAATAGCAAAAACATGGAACTAACCATATTGCTCATCACAGCTGGGCTGGATTAAGAAAATGTGGTACATATACACAATGGAATATTATGCTGCCATAAAGAAGGACAAACGTATGGACTTATCAGCAACTTGGATGGATTTAGAGTTGATCATACTCAGTGATCTATCACAGAAACAAAGCACAGAGTACCACATGTTCTCACTCATAAGTGGGCCTTGAGCAATTATCATAATACTCCAAGAAAGGGATTGGCAGTGGCGGGAAGTTGCCAGGGGAGGGGGAGTGTGATTGGCATTTGAGAGGAACTGCCAGGGAAGGGAGGGGCATACTTCATCACCAAGGGTACCTGCATAATCAATATTTGTATACCTAACCCTGAATTGTACCCCACATCTTTATAATAAAAATAAATAAATAAATAAAGATTCCATTTTACATCTTAAAAAAAAAAAAGACTGCCTGGGTTGGATACCTGCTCTGGTACATGCAATTACCAACTTCTCTATGCCTTTTACTCGCTTGAAAAATATTATAAAAGATGAATGTGTTAATGTCTTGTGTATGTGGAGTACTTAGCCTACTACCTAGCTTATACTAAAGTTAGCTATTACTTTAATCTGTTTATTTACTCTGAAACACTCTTCCCCACAGTCAGAGTGGTTTTTGAATAATGTCAGAATCCATGGCAGAGCTACTCAAATCAAATAATGTGATACACAATATTTCTATTTCAATAAGTGCTCTAATTAATACATACATACATATATATGTGTGTGTGTGTATATATATATATTAAAAATTTCCACCCCTTGATTTTAGGCAAATACAAATTTCTTGACTCAATATATTTATTATTGCATAACATAAGTAATAGATTAATTGAAAAGAGATTTATGGATTAATTATAAATAAACTCTACTATCATATTTGTTTAATCTACAAACATCAAGCCATTTAATACAATGTTAATATAAACATACAAAGTGTATCCTCAATCCAGAAATCTGCATTTTTCAATTTTTACTTTGAGTGTTAGACTCTCAGAGGAGTATCTGCCTTATATAAAATTGATGCACAGTAGAGTAAAATTCTCAGTTCCGTCTTGAATTGATTATATTTCACTAGGTGAATTTTAGAGTGCTCTCAAGTTAATTTCATCATTTTTTTTAGTATGCTGGATTAGTTTAATCAGCATCCACCCACCTAACCATCCATCCATCCATCCATGTAGCAAATATATATCAAGTATCTTCTACATGCAATGAAAATTTACAGTACACTGATAGACATAGTACTTGCTAATGAAGTTTAAATCATACTAGAGAAGGATGACAATGAAGGGAGATTTGGTTCCTAGGAAGTATAATTTTCCAAGATGATCCTTCTTCCTGTTTAATGATAATAATTTTCATCCTACTCACAATAGCCACAAATAAAATAAAATATCTCGGAATCCACCTCACCAAAGAGATGAAAAACCTTTACAATGAGAACTAAGAAACACAGCTCAAAGAAATCAAGGATGACACAAACAAATGGAGAAATACTTCATGCTCATGAATTGGAAGAATTAATATTGTCAAAATATTCATTCTACCCAAGGCAATGTACAGATTCAACACAATTCCTATCAAATCACCAGAATCATTTTTCACAGACCTAGAAAAGGCAAGACAGAAATTTATATAAAAGCAAAAAAGAGCCCAAACAGCTAAATTAATCATCAGCAAAAAGAACAAAGCTGGAGGTATCACACTTCCAGACTTCAAACTTTACTGCAAGGCAGCATGGTACTAGTACAGGAATAAACATATAGACCAATGGAACAGGACAGAGAATCCTAAACAAAACCAAGGACTTCCAGTCAACTCATCTTTGACAAAGCTGATGAAAACAAACATTGGGGAAAGAAAGCCATAGTTAGCAAATGCTGTTGGGAAAACTGGATAACCACATGAACAAGAGTGAAACAAAAATTATCTTGGAATATACCAAAGACTTGAATGTGAAACCTCAAACTATAAGAATCTTAGAAGGAAACTTGGTGAATACCCTCCTGAACATTGAAGTAGACATTGAACTAATGGCTAAGTCCTCAAGAGCAAATGCAGCAAAAGCTAAAATTGACAGGTGGGACCATATCAAACTAAAAAGCTTTTGCACAGTAAAATAAAGCATCAAAATAGTAAAGAAACAACTCACAGAATGGGAAAAATATTTGCAAGCTATGCATCTGATAAAGGTCTAACATCAAGGATGTACACGGAACTCAAATGAATTGACAGATAAAAAATTTACAACTCTATTAAAAAGTGGGAAAAAGATATGAACAGACACTTCTCAAAGGAAGACATTCAAGTGAAAATGCACACATGAAAAAATGTTTGTCCTCACTGATCATCAGAGAAATGAAAATCAAAACTACAATGAGATACTACCTCATAACGGTAAGGACAGCTATAACTGAAAAGTCAAAAGACAATAGGTGTTGGTGAGGCTGCAGAGAAAAGGGAATGCTTCTATACTGTTGGTGGGACTGTAAGCAAGTTCATCCTTTGTAGAAAGCAATCTTGGAAATTTCTCAAAGAACTAAAAATTGAGCCACCATACAATACAGCAATCCCACTTCTGGGAATACACCCAGAAGAACATAAATTGCTCTACCAAAAAGACACCTACACACATATGTTTATTGCAGCACTATTTACAATAGCAAAATATGGAACCAACCCAGATGCCCACTGAAAATGGACCAAATAAAGAAATGGAATATACACAATGGAATACTACACAGCCATAAAGAAGAACAAAATTATATCCTTTGCAGTGGCATGGATGCAGCTGGAGACCATCATTCTAAGTGAACTATCACAGAAACATGAATACCACATATTCTTACTTATAAGTGAGCCCTGATCACTGGTTACACTAGCACAAAGGTGGGAACAACAGATGCTGGCCACTGCTAATGGAGAAAGGGAAGAAGAAGGATTATGGGGTACTCAAGACACAATGAGTACCAGGTTCACTAACAGGAGGAGAGAGGACTCTTTAGAAGCCCAAGCCTCACCTGCATGCAATTTACTTATGTAGTAAACTCTCACATGTACCCACAATTGTAAAATAAAATGAAATTAAAGAGATCCAAATTTTAATGTAAAAATTGATAGCTATGTTCTTTTGTACCACTCATTTCTCTATGGACTCTGCATGAAACCTAGCAGTATTTGAGTGATCTTTGTGGGACTCTATTCAGGATCATTTATTGATAGAGGCCTATAACAAAGATGTTTCACTTGTAAGAGGGACTATATGAAATGGAGAGAGACGATTCCTATGGGAGGAGTGGAAAGTGGGAAGCTCACAGGAACGTGCCGTCGCAGGTTCGTTGGTGTACCCGATGGAGTGGAGCTGCTGCTGAGAGCGTTCTCGATGTCCTGGTCAAGCTGGTCCAGTTTCATGATTAGCAGCACCATGGAGTCCAGCCGCGCCCTGTCTCGATCTTCTCTTATTTCCTGCGGAACAGAACACGTTGCTACTGAATATGAAAGGTCATTTCTTGGTAAGAATAAAAAGTTCCCTGTTCTTCAATGTGACCAAAGGGACACTGGATAATAGGCAGTCTTTTACTTATGCGGGAAGAGAAGTTTTATTTTGTATCATCAATGAATGGGCTCTTCATTAGGAAGATACTGACCTAGTGCCAAGAAAGTGTTTTACATGAATATTAAATATATATCTTACAAAGCAAAATGCCATGAAAAGAAGTATAACATCAGTGAGTGCAAATACAGATTTACTACTTTCCAGTTAATTATTCTTGGGAGAAGAATAATTTTCTTTTTGGGGAGTACGGATCTATTATTTGAAAGTTACTAATCATTGGTTATGGTTAGACATTTATGGATTACTATGAGACAACATTTTAAAAACAATATTTCAAAGTATAGTCAAAATGAGAAAAGCATGACATGAGGGAAGTTTTCAGTTTGAGCAGTGAGCAATTTTCCCAGCATGGGGCCATTCACCCATTGCTGCTTTGAGATCTGTCACTGCCAACATTTCTTCTCTTGAGTTTCTTTTTCTTTCACACACTTTTGAAAAAAGCTTCCACAACAATATATATCTTTGTAAATGACCACGGTTACTTATTCTCAATTCTACATAATATAGACATATATTTATGGAAATACTTTTCTTTATAGGAGTAGCTAAACCTTCTCATCAATCATAAAAAGTTACTTTGGCATGACTCTACTATTCTTGTGCATTCAAATAAAGTCAATTAGTATAAGGAATATTCCAAATCCTCTGTTTTGTATAAGATATCAGGGTTGGGTAGTGTATTGGGTGGACAAAAAAGATCATGGGAAGCACAGTTAGGTTCTTTAAAAGCGAAATCTATTGGGGGATGTCATGGACTCAGGGCTGGCTCTTTTGAGACAAGTCATCATTTGTGACTCATGTTGCCATCCTCCCATCTGACTCAGATATTTATCTGGACAAAATGAGTTTTAAAATCACCAGTGGCCAACCTCAAAGGGAAAATATGTTTTGACAGAATCCTGAGGTTATCAATACATGGATAGCAGGTTGGGGGCTTTGCTTCAGTGATGGTTAGTTGTGGGATGAAAGGAAAGACTGCCTGGATTGGGCTTTTATTTTTTGACATTTTAAAAATCCTTCTACATTCCCCAGTTACCATTAAAAGGCACCCCCAAAGTACAGGGACTAGGGCAATTTTGTGGCTTACTCTAATTTTATGGAGTTCTCTATATATTAAATACTTACAGCAAATTGTTACTACTACAGTGGCATTATCTTTTAAATGTTAAATAATTGGTTTATTGCATTAAATTGGTCATAATAATCAATTAATTAAGCTAACATTAGATAAGTTATTCAAGTACACTGAACTTGTGCTTGGCTTAACAGACATGCAAACTGAAGAACTAGTCCTATTTTCAAAAAGGCAGATTAATTTTAAGAATAAATTAAGATTTTTTTTGAGATGTGTTAATCCTTCAGAATACTATGCCATTGTTATGATTTCAACTCCCTCCCATTGTCCCTGGTGTTTAAAATAGTTAATGAGGCTCTTGCAGATAATTACAAACTTTTGTCATCTTAAGGTATTATTATTTTTAAAAGGTCCATAATATTCACAAACAGACCTGATCCTTACTATATATCATATCCCTCAATGCTACAGAATTTTGTCATATTCAAACAAGTATCATTGATAGTTGAATTCTGCTTATAACTTAAAATAGAATTCCCAAAATATTAGAGATAATTTAGGTTCATTTCCTTCTAAATATTCCAGAAAATGGAAAAATCTGACTGAATAGTAATTAAATCTCCTTAATTACACTTCTAATTTGTTTGCTTATATAATTTACGTCTCTTTTAAGCCAAAGTTGTGTTTGGCAAGATGATGTTCTCTGCAATTCTATGTCCATACATGGTTTTGTATGATTGTCTTTAATTTTTTAGTTATAATGTCCTCAAGGACAGAGATGATTTTTTTTTAACTGACAGACACACAGCCAAGTTATATATTGTACTCACAGTCCATTTTGGGAATAATAATAATGAAATCAACAGGAACCAGTGAAATAACACCTCCAAAAGCCTTGGAAAATATATCTTAATATTTCCCAGCTTCTAAGACAGTGTTAGATGAAGCAGTATATCCTACACAGACCAGGATCATACGGTACATAATCATAAAACTTCACAAAATAGAGTGACTACAAATCTGATGCTTTGGATAAATATTATGGCCCCTGTTTTTAAAGCCAAAATATTAATATTTCACAAAGTTCCAACTTTTCATATGACTAATCTTGCTCAGAAGCAAATTTTCTTTGACTTAACTGGATGCTGACATTGTACTTTAAAATCATTTTTACATCCATGAACTGAGCATCAAATTATTTCAATGCTCTGCCAAAAGGAATAAAACCAAATAGGCTTGCTCTGTGATATTCCTGTAGAGAAATAAGCCTATGTTTTCCCCTTTCCTTCCTGGATGCTTCTTTATTCACCATCCATTACATTCAGCCTGGTGTGTCAAGTACATAGACCAGGATCATATGTTACACATTCATAATACTTCACAAAATAGAGTCACTACAAGTCTGATCTTTTGGATAAATATTATGGCCCTTGTTTTTTTAAAGCCCAGATATTAATATCTCACAAAGTTCTAGCTTTTCATATGTCTATGGCTAAACTCCAGCAAATAGCTCATGCCTGAAAACAGAGTCGTGTACGTGCAGATTTTGGCCAGGCTGACTTCGACAGTGGGTTTTAAAAGCTCCCTGTCACTATAGTTCATGAAGAGGAACTTCTTAATACGTGAAGCTTGCCTATTCATGAAGTCAGAAACTTCAAGGTGCTAAATTCTCCTCCTTTCCATTGTCCCCTCCTTTTTTCCTTTAGTCTCTGCTGTTCTGGGCCAATCTCTATCAAAGAGTCTGAACATCCATCAGCAAACAACACAAATAAGATCCCTGTTTCCCTGAATATTATAGTCAACCATGGGAAGACAGAAAATGAAAGTCAACAAATTCACAAGTAAGAGTTTCAAATGGGAGAGAGTGTAAGAAGAAAGTGAGATACAGTAACTGCAGGGGTAGTCCTCTACTTCATGTAGCCTGGTCAGAGGAGTTTCTGTAGAAGTGAGAGATAAACCATAATTGAGAGGGGCGTGAGATGGAGAAAATGATAAAGATTGAGAGAAACAGAGAAAGATGGAGGAGGGAGGAAGAGGAGGAGGAGGACGATGATGGGGAAAACAAAGAGGTCAAGAAGGGTGAGGGGAACTGGGAAAATAGTGTTTCAAGTCGAGTGGGGAATAATACAATGCTGCTGAGGTGGGAATGTGTTTGGTTAATGAGAGCAATAAGAGGATCCAAAAAAAACAAAACAAAACTAGGGAAGATAATGGAGGAGAAGTGAGAGGGACAGGGAGAGGGAGGGGGAGTGAGTGCTAGTGTAGGATGAGGTTGGTATAAATGGGAGGCAACTCATTTTTTTGTTTGTTTGTTTTGAAGATAGAGGAGTTTTCCTCTTCGTGTGATGGAGGCCACTGGCAGAATATATACAAATGAGTGATCTACTATGCTTTATAAACTTTTAGATTTCTTAATACATGTTGGCAATCATTTTTGAAACCTCACCACAGTTTACATCCAGCAATACCCCATGAATAATACGTGCTTATTTATCCTAAGCTTATTCTTCTAGTCCTGGTCTTGTGCTGAAGTCTGAATCGAAGACTTAATGAAATGATTACAAAGAAATAACAGCAAATTTTAAGACAAAGCCTCATATATTTTTGTATCAAAGTGAAAAAAGAAAAGACACTGTTTGGGGAGCATATTTCTTCAGAGCAGGGACTGGATGGACAGTGGTGTATTTGATGGACAGTGGTATACTGGATGCAGAGTTAGAAAGATAAGTACAGTTGGCCCCTATGGGCTGGTGCAAGCTGGTGTCTGGTGGCTCCAAATCACGCTGGAGTGGGGACTAGTGGTTTGGAAAATCATTCTTAAAATTTGACCTGACTAGAAACATTGATAGTTAAACCAATAGTTGTAATTATGGTTTAGTCCACAGAATAGTGCATATTAAAATAATGCACTTTATCTATATAATGAATTTATTTTCCTTAACGTTTGCCATTGTTGCCTAGGTAAAGTTCATTTTAAATTGTAGATTTGGTGTTTTTCTGGAAAATTCTTTCTCTCTCTTTTTATTTTTTAGTAGTGGCTCCTTTGTCTCTCTTTCATGCCCTATCCATTATTTATGCTTGTAAAACTTCTTATAATTCATTATAATTAACATATTTTATATTCATATTTCTGCCAATCACAGGATTTTCTTTTTAAGACAAGGTCATACGGGCTGGAGTGCAGTTGGCACAATCATGGCTCACCACAGCTTTGACCTCCTAGGCTCAGGCAATCCTTCTACCTCAGCCTTCCAAGTAGCTGAGACTTACAAGTGTACATCACCACGCCTGGCTAACTTTTTTATTTTTTGGAGAGATGAGGTCTCGCTATGTTGCCTAGGCTGGTCTCAAGTTCCTAGGCTCAGGTAGTCTTCCTGTCTTGGCCTCCTAAAGTGCTGAGATTACTGGCATGAGCCACCATGCCAGGCCGAAACATATTTAAGTTACTTAATATATCACTTGGATACTTCACACAAGGATTTAGAAATATAGAAGTTCAAGGCTCTAGTGCCCTGATTTTGCAGATAAGGAAACTGAACTCCGAGGGTTTTTAAAAATCCAGATCACTCCTGCATTGGTAAAGCCTAGACAAGAGCCTGGTTCTTCCTAATCCCTATCTTAATAATCTTTCTAGTTCTCCATTTTGGTTTCCTTCCTTGGATACCATTTCAAATTTTATACTTAGTTGGGTATCCCGTATTATCTCCTCAAATCCTACACCCTTGTTTAGATTCCTCTTAAAAAGAGAAACTATGCTTCTGAAGAACACCAATG